CGTTTCAAAAATTGTTCTAGTGATAGGATTGAAAAAATTGTACCCGTAAGAGCGTTCAGCGTATCCAATAAAATAACAACTATCTGTCTTTGCATCCAACTTACCTTTATGAGGCTTATAAGGCCTCGCTGTAGCTGGACATTCCCAAATTTGTAGGTGTCTAATGTTGGGCTTTTTCCCAGTCCAGAGTTCATAAGGGGTCTTAGCTACTACTTTACTAGATACTCTATTAAGGATATAAATTGCGGTCTTTAATGCTTCTCTGCAAAATGACTCTGGAAGAGAAGAGTGACTAATCATACTTCTTACCATGTCCTTAAGAGTCCGGTTCATCTTTCTGCAACTCCATTCATGTTGGGTTTTCCCAGCATTGTGTATTGCGAAACAATTCCATACTTATCGAGGAAAAGCGCAAAGGGCCCTGGACGTTGTTCCCCTGATCCATCATACTGACTATAGTATTCACCATCATGGTCGGATTTGACAGCTTTTATTTTCTTTCTAAGTTGAAGTTTGACTTCCACTTTGAATGACTTGAACACGTGCAAAGATTGAGATTTCTCATGAATCAAATACAGGTAGCCATACCTCGAGTAATCATCTATGAACGTAATAAAATATTGTTGTCCATTCCAAGAACATGTAGGAAAAGGACCACATATATCGGTATGAATTAGTTCTAAGACATCCTTAGCTCTTTCAGCATTGAAATTCCTCTTGTTTGTTTGCTTACCCTTGATACACAAAATGCATACTTGAAAGTCCGGAAAATAAAGGGATCTAAGAATATCATCCGACATAAGCCTTTGAATTCTTTGTTTAGATATATGTCCTAATCACTTATGTCATAAAGTGGTGGAATTCTGATTTAATTTTTGTTTTGTACCATGTGACTCTATTTGCATTATTTTGTTATAAGGATATTCAATATCAAGCATATAAAGATTATCATTCAAAGAACCGTAACCAACAACATTTGAATCATATGAGAGGTTAAATTTATTATTTCCAAAAGAACAAGTATAACCTGATTTATCCAAAATAGAAATAGAAATCAAATTCCGTCAAATAGACAGTGCAACAAAAGTCTCAATCAAATCCAAATGAAAACCGATCTTTAATAATAATTTAAAATTCCCTATAGCCTTTACTGCAACTTTATTGTCATCACCGACATAGATGAATCTTTCAGCATCACTTGGTGGACGGCTCCATAGGCAACCCTGCATGGACACACTAATGTGAGTAGTAGCGCAAGAATATATCCACTAAGTATCCTTAGGTACAGAAACTAAATTAATTTTAGAACAAACAAAAGTGAGAAGTTACCCTTCTTTTCACGCCATGCGACATACTTGGAACACTCTTTTTTCATATGTCCAGCCTTTTTGCAAAAGAAGCAAGTAGTCTTCTTAGGTTGTTCCTTTGCCTTCTAATTTTGAGAAAACTTTCCCACAAGCTTCTTCCTTTTATTCTGAGAACTGATAGCCAAGTGAGCACTTTCAGACTCCTCTCTCTTTAGCCTCTCTTCCTCTTGCACATAGTGAGATATGAGCTCATTGAGAGACCATTTGTCCTTTTGAGTATTGTAACTCACTTTGAGTTACCCAAAGTATGCAGGGAGAGAGATCCAAACCAAGTGCATAATAAAATCCTCAGGAAGTTCTAACTTCAATGCCTTGAGTTTTGATGCGAGATTAGACATCTCCATGATGTACTCCCTTATGTTCCCTTTTCTTTTATAAACCATTGAAATGAGTTTGGACAAGATACTAGTTGTCTCAGCCTTATCATTTTTAGCAAATAATTGCTTCACGGTTTTGAGGAACTTCTTGTCACTTTCACTCTCAGCAATCGAGCCCCTAATCATTTCAGGTATATATCTTTTGATTATCATCAAGCACATTCGGTTAGATAGGTCCCATTTTTCTATTTTAGTTTCATTTGGGTTCTCAACAGTGGCAGTGGGACGCTCTTCCATCAATGATAAGTGTAAATCCATGCATCCAAGCAGGATCTCCACAGATTCTTTCCAAGACTTAAAGTTCATCCCACTCAACATAGGGATAGAGTTAATTTGAGCAACAAAATTTGGAGCGGCAACAGCAGCAACCGAATCCATAAAAAAGAACAACAAACATACACTGACATTAATAGGCATGTCAAATAACCACATAGACATGCAAAATATTCTTTATATGCAAATTAAATAAGACATTGACAAGATACCAAAAACACCATCAATTCTCATCTCTGATTGCAAGAATTAACTATAAGCGGTACTCTCACGTAATGATCAAACATTAGTAATAAGTCCGGTTAGATAATGGATGCATTTGACATCAATCATTAGCCACATGGATAAACTTGATAATTACTACATATTTACCATCATAGGTGTGCAAATTTTTGGCCAAACTGTGTCTTCCTTTTGGTCGACTATAATAGTTCGCATGAAAAATTACATACTACATCTTTTGTAATTTTAATTGAATCAAATTTAAATAACAGAGGTTACGTTTGCAACTTGTTGTTTCAACTAATCCAATCTAAGTCACTAGACATTTTTAATTTAATAAATTAAATGGGAAGGTCTTAAAATTCGCACAAACATTATCCACAAATGTAATGTCAAAATTGTATGTTTATCTGATCGCTTAATAATCAAATGATTATTAAATTATTCAAATTATGCACGAAAATACTCGCATAATTTAAACTGAAAATTAAATACATAATTGTGTTTATATCATGTACATACCAGTATAATAAATCAGTTGTACTCGAAGGGTGTTAAAAAATTCTAAATTAAATTAACACTCTTAAAAAAAATCTTAATAAAATAAAATTAATATTTAAAATTTTCTCACAATTAAAAAATTAATCTGGATCCATAAAATAAAAATTGATATAGTTAAACATCACATAATTAAAATATATAATTCACTTTAGCACTTTGAATACACTATTATTATAATTACAATATATAATTTCAATGTCACAATGAAAAAGTGTCCTAACATTGTTGTGAAGCAACATTTAGCATCCTAAAAGATATAATTCGTAAATAACATTACGGTAACTATTATGATGACAATAAAAACTTGAATAATATATTTAATAAAAATTACATAATAATATATTATTTAAATTAGTAATTTAATCATACTTTAAGCTCTCATACAATTTTTTAGATTTAAATTAATAACGATTAATTAAAATATACATGCTCAAAAAATTATAATATATAATTAAGAAAAAATTTCCTTCATATGGTAATCCTAAAGCCAAAAGTTAATTTTATGCCTCAAATTCTCTTAGAATATATATATATATATATATATATATATATATATATATATATATATATATATATATATATATATATATATATATATATATATATATATATATATATATATATATATATATATATATATATATATATATATATATATATATATATCAAGTGAGAGTGGTTTTAAATGAGAGATGAGAGAAACAAACAACAACCATTAGATCATGATTAAACTCATTCATTAATGTGACTATTAATTTTTCTCTCTTATTAACTTGTATTTCATCTCTCTTATTAATTTGAGCTAATGGTTGTTATTTGTTTCTCTCATCTCTCATTTAAAATCACTCTCATTTGATATGCTCCATATATATATATATATATATATATATATATATATATATATATATATATATATATATATATATATATATATATATATATATATATATATATATATATATATATATATATATATATATATATATATTGTGATGGTCAATTAGGATTTCCATTATTCTCAAATTGGTCATCCTAACATCCACTCTATTTGAGTCCATATCTAATTAATTAATTAATTAAATGATTCTCAAATAAAATTTAAATAGTCTTTTAATATTATTTGATTACATAATTATTTAAAGCACTTTATTAATAAAATAGCTAATATAATTAAATAGATATATTTGGCCACATAATTATTAAAATATTAATATATTACAAAATTATTAAAATATTCAAACAGAAAATACTACTTAGTACTTTCTCCGTCCCAAATTATAAAATGTTTTGACCATTTTACACCGTTTAAGAAATGCAATTATTATTTTATGAAAAACTGAAATGATCTATGACTTTACAAAACTGCTATTCATTAATTATATTAAAAAGCGGACTAAAGGAATAAGAAGAAGAAACAGAAATAAATAATACACTTTATGTCTCAAATTATAAGTCACTTTGTCAAAAAATTGTCTCAACTTATAAGTCATCTTATATTCACAATGCAATATTAATGATATTTTTATAAGGGACATTATTGTAAAATCATATATAATTTATCTTTTTTATAAAGTAATAATTAAATTTCTTAATTCCTTTAAAATATCTAAAACGTTTTAGAATTTGGGACGGAATAGTAAAATATATATTAGAAAAAAAGTCATTAATGCTGTATTAAAATTCTAAAATGACTTATAATTTAAAATAAATATTTTTACAAAATAATTTATAATTTAAAACAATAGTATATAATATAATATTATACAAATTTGATAAGTTATTGCATGGTCGTGTATGTCCCCCTTTCACCCGAAACCATTACGGTCACTTATATAAGGAGCTGATCACTGCCAAACATTGTTTGTAACAAAACTATCTGAGTGCCAAAAATTGATTTTTATTTCTAATGTTTTATTTTAACACACCTTTTAAAGCCTAATTTAGCGGACATTAGTACTAATTTAGTTTAGCTTTGCCCGGTTAACTAGAAAACTTCTCCAAAGGCACGAGCTTCTTGTTCTAGGAGTAGGATGTGGACACAATTATTGCTGTTTTGCAAACAAAGTAAGACGTTACACAGGCAGCTTTTGCTTTTATAAATAGCAGACTCCCAAGCAGCACACTGTGTCTTGCAGGTGCCACTTTGCTTCTTCATTGGTTCTTTACCTTGTTTTTCCTTTTCCTTTTCACACACTCCAACATGCCTCTCACCACCATTCTCCTTTCCCTTTTCTCCTTTTTCCTTCTCCACACCCATGTCAATGCCAACCCATTCCATTCCATTCACCACCACAACCACCCTCACTTCGCCACTCACAACTACAGAGACGCCCTCACCAAGTCCATTCTCTTTTTCCAGGGACAGAGGTCAGGGAAACTCCCTTCTAACCAGAGAATCTCCTGGAGAAGAGACTCTGGTCTCTCGGATGGCTCAGCATTGCATGTATGTAAACAAATTCCTCATTATCATACATTTCTAGTCTTTTATTTTTTGAAAACTTTTTATGCTTATATTTGTTTTAAATGCACAATGTAGGTTGATTTGGTTGGAGGGTACTATGATGCTGGAGACAATGTCAAGTTTGGTTTTCCTATGGCTTTTACTACCACCATGCTTTCATGGAGTGTTATTGAGTTTGGTGGGTTGATGAAAAGTGAGTTGCCAAATGCTAAAGAAGCTGTTCGTTGGGCTACTGATTATCTTCTTAAAGCCACTGCACATCCAAATATCATTTATGTTCAGGTTAGTTTATGATTTTCTAGTTTTGTGAAGAAAAAAACAGAGGAAATGAGGTTGATTTTTGGGTTGTGTGTTTGTAGGTGGGAGATGCTAAAAAGGACCATGCTTGTTGGGAGAGACCAGAGGACATGGACACACCAAGAAGTGTTTTTAAGGTTGATGCAAACGCACCTGGCTCTGAGGTTGCTGCGGAAACTGCTGCAGCATTAGCAGCGGCTTCTCTTGTTTTCAGAAGAAGTGATCCAACATATGCCAAGATTTTAGTAAGAAGGGCTATCAGGGTAAGCCTTTGATTCATAAAAAAAATTAAACTTTTTCATTCTTTTGCGTAAAATCTGAGTCTATAATTGTTTGTGAGTGTATAGGTTTTTCAGTTTGCTGATAAACACAGAGGATCTTACAGCAATGCCTTGAAACCCTTTGTGTGTCCATTCTATTGTTCTTACTCAGGTTACCAGGTAAAGTTTTGATTTTTCCAATTTTTTAATATGTCCTTTTTCTTAGACATACTCAAAAGCATGATGATTGATATTTTGGTGATAAATTTGGTAGGATGAGTTGTTGTGGGGTGCTGCATGGCTCCACAAGGCCACTAAGAATCCAATGTATCTAAAATACATTCAAGTTAATGGTCAAATCCTAGGAGCTGCAGAGTTTGACAACACATTTGGCTGGGATAACAAACATGTTGGAGCAAGGATACTTCTTTCAAAGGTTCTAGATTTCATCATTAGATAGTATAACAAACAATTTAACAAAAAAAAATGGTTTATGAAAACTTACATGTATTTTCTGTTGGTTTTATGTGATATTAGGAATTTCTAGTTCAAAATGTAAAATCCCTCCATGACTACAAGGGTCATTCAGACAATTTCGTTTGTTCTTTGATTCCGGGAGCTGGTTCCTCATCTGCACAATATACCCCAGGTAGAGTAAAGTACCTTATCTTTTCTCACCATATTTTAACTTATGTGGTCCAAATTGTAACATTTTTTGAGGTTGTAAAAAACTTTACAGGTGGACTTTTGTTCAAGATGAGTGATAGTAACATGCAGTATGTCACATCCACTACCTTCTTACTGGTCACATATGCCAAATACTTAACCAAATCACATTCAGTTGTGAATTGTGGTGGTACCATTGTAACACCAAAGAGACTCAGAACCTTAGCCAAGAGACAGGTAAGAAAAATTCTAACTGTTATAACATTAACAAAATAACAATTTGAAATATATATTTTTTTATAACTTTTGGAATTTTTTGTCTTAGGTTGATTATTTGTTAGGAGATAACCCATTGAAGATGTCATATATGGTGGGGTATGGACCAAGGTATCCACAAAGGATACACCACAGAGGATCATCACTTCCTTCAATGGCTGTGCACCCGGGAAAGATCCAGTGTTCCGCAGGGTTTGGTGTGATGAAATCGCACTCACCAAATCCTAACGTTCTTGTGGGTGCTGTTGTTGGTGGACCAGATCAGCATGATAGGTTTCCAGATGAACGGTCAGATTATGAACAATCAGAGCCGGCTACTTATGTTAATGCACCACTTGTCGGAACACTGGCTTATCTTGCACACTCATTTGGTCAACTTTAGGTCCAACTTGTTAGGGTGAACCTGATTATGATTATGATTATGATTATGATGTTTTAGTTTTAAATTTTCACTAATTTGGTTAGTACTTATAACTAGTTAGATTTCTTAGGAGAGAAGCTTTTAAAAACTCGTCACAGTGAGTAAATTTCATTGTGGCGATGCTTCCATGTGTTATGTTAATGTTAAGTGGTGTGACATATATGTTAAGTGATATGTTAAAAAATTATCAAGAATTTCTATGTTTAAAGGAAATCTCAACTGTAAAAGTGGTTAGTTTTGTTTGTGTTTTTGTGTTATTTATCAACTTTTAAGATATTGTGGTGTGGACAAAAGGATAAAATAAAGTAAGGGGATAAAGACATTGCTTCAATGAACTTTTCCTAGGAAATTGGAACTAATCCTTTGTTAAAATACAGTTTGTATAAAAAATAAAAATGTATCTTTGACCGAACTGAGAAATTTTTCCAGCGCCGAACCGCTGAAGATTCTCCTCGAGCAACATGGAAAATTGGTTGAAATTGTAACCCTTGTGGTGTGAAATGGGAAATATTGTCTTCTTCATCATGGATTTTAACACAAAAGAAACCTTCATCAACAAGTTGAGTTAAACTATTCCTTAAAGGAAAATGAGAAATGACATCAATGAGATTACTTTATCAAGCGGTTAGTAATGGTGGAATATTACATGAGCTACATATAGTGGTGATGTGTGCTAGAATTTGTTGGACAATTAGTATGTTTTGGTTTGGATTATAACTATAAATAACTAATTTAAGTTTTAACACTTATTCAGAAATTAATTAATTGTAATTAATTTTTCTTGTTTCATAAAAAATTAAGTGTATTTTATAAAATATCTTTTATAAAAATTTAAGAGTTAAAAAAATAAAAGCTTTATATTAATTGAAGAATACTTTAAACACGACATTATTATATAGAATATATATATAATTGTACTTGTTGATGTTTAAAATCATCAATACAAAAGCATGTTTGATCTTGCACCACGTTAAACAAACACAAAAAAAAATAATTAGGGCAAAGCAAAATTTGCCCTAATTGTTTCGCCACAATTAGAAATGACAACCCAAGCTTCATAGTTCTTTTTAAGTACTTGAGTATTCTCTTTACGACCACTATATGAGATTTCTTAGGCTCATTCGTATATCTGCTGATGATTCCAACTCCATAGCCGATGTCAGATATGTTATTGCATAAGTATCTTAATGAACTTACAATTGACTTATACATGGTTGCCTCTACTCCCTCTTTATCATTGCATTCGTCAAGTTGTGCATTTGTTTTAGATGGATTTGTGACTATGTTGCAATAGATCATTTCAAATATGTCTAATACCTCCCTCACGCGCACTTCTATTGAAGCATTACCATGTCTTTCTTGGTTTTCACAAATTACATGCCAAGAAAGTATGAGAGCTTACCTAAATCAGCCATCTCAAACTTAACCTTCCTTTTCCCCTTTAGATTTTCAAGCTCGGATGAATGGCTTCTAGTGAAGAGCAAGCTATCCAGATACAAACATGTTATCATTATACTTGAGTTGTTGGAACTTTGAACATATACACCATACTTAAATATGCATTTTTTGAATCCTAGTTAGATATAACAATTTGGTCAATTCTTTTGTTTCAAGCTATAAGTGCTCGCTTTGATCAATATACACATATTTGTGCAACATAATGTGATCTTTTCCTTTCACTTAAAATAATGGTGATTGAGTGACAACATTTGGTACTTCTAATAGACCATTTAGGAATGAAGACTTCATATCCAAGTGATAGAAGGATCAACCTCGCTACTAGTTTTAGCCACAACTAGTCTCACTGTCTAAAGTCTTTCCACGAGAGCACACAGTTCATTATAGTCTATGACATATCTCTGCAAAAAGCTTTTAACCCTAACATTGCCATAATGTTTTGAATTTGTGCTATATTAATTCATTTTGATCTTAAAGGTCCATTTCACGTCAACAATTTTCTTGCTCTCAAGTAAATTATCCAGCTACCATATACAATTCTATTTAATTTATTTGAGTTTTTTAATCATAACATCCTTAATACTTTACTCTTTATTTCCTCGTTGTAGATGTCTGTTCATCATCATCTAGCATAACAAAATGAATGAGTTAACCTTCATTACTATCTGCACTATCAAGAAATATCTCAAAATTTGCAAGTCTACTAAGCACTTTCTTTGTTCTCTGTGGTCTCACATGTGTTTGAGCTTATTTTGGTACATCATTAGCTACTTCAGTACCTATAACATGATTTTTTTCATCCAACTCTTTTTCTGACCAGGTTAAGGGAAAATATGACTGAGATTAATTTCTTCCTCTGATGTATCTTTCTAATTACATGTTTATGATTAATTGAAGATCACATCTCTATTGATGTTCAACTTCTAAGTCACATGATTATACAATTTATAAGCTTCGGTTGAATGGAATCATATGAATATCATACTTTCAGTTTTGACATCCAACTTAACTCTTCTTTGAACAAATATGTGTTTAGAACATAGTGGACCAAACATTTTTAGATGTTTATGATTAATTGAAGATCACATCTTTATTGATGTTCATCTTCTAAGTCACATGATTATACAATTAATAAGCTTCGGTTGAATGGAATCATATGAATATCATACTTTCAGTTTTGTCATCCAACTTAACTCTTCTTTGATCAAATATGTGTCTAGAACATAGTGGGTCAAACATTTTTAGATGTTTAGGATTAATTGAAGATCACATCTCTATTGATGTTCATCTTCTAAGTCACATGATTATACAATTTATAAGCTTCGGTTGAATGGAATCATATGAATATCATACTTTCAGTTTTGTCATCCAACTTAACTCTTCTTTGATCAAATATGTATTTAGAACATAGTGGGCCAAACATTTTTAGATGTTTATGATTAATTGAAGATCACATCTCTATTGATGTTCATCTTCTAAGTCACATGATTATACAAATTATAAGCTTCGGTTGAATGGAATCATATGAATATCATACTTTCAGTTTTTTCATCCAACTTAACACTTCTTTGATCAAATATGTGTTTAGAACATAGTGGGCCAAACATTTTTAGATGTTTATGATTAATTGAAGATCACATCTCTATTGATGTTCATCTTCTAAGTCACATGATTATACAATTTATAAGCTTCGGTTGAATGGAATCATATGAATATCATACTTTCAGTTTTGTCATCCAACTTAACTCTTCTTTGATCAAATATGTGTTTAGAACATAATGAGCCAAACATTTTTAGATGTTTGTGATTAATTGAAGATCACATCTCTATTGATGTTCATCTTCTAAGTCACATGATTATACAATTTATAAGCTTCAGTTGAATGGAATCATATGAATATCATACTTTCAGTTTTGTCATCCAACTTAACTCTTCTTTGATCAAATATGTGTTTAGAACATAGTGGGCCAAACATTTTTAGATGTTTATGATTAATTGAAGATCACATCTTTATTGATGTTCATCTTCTAAGTCACATGATTATACAATTTATAAGCTTCGGTTGAATGGAATCATATGAATATCATACTTTCAGTTTTGTCATCCAACTTAACTCTTCTTTGATCAAATATGTGTTTAGAACATAGTGGGCCAAACATTTTTAGATGTATATGATTAATTGAAGATCACATCTCTATTGATGTTCATCTTCTAAGTCACATGATTATACAATTTATATGCTTCGGTTGAATGGAATCATATGAATATCATACTTTCAGTTTTGTCATCCAACTTAACTCTTCTTTGATCAAATATGTGTTTAGAACGTAGTGGGCCAAACATTTTTAGATGTTTATGATTAATTGAATATCACATCTCTATTGATGTTCATCTTCTAAGTCACATGATTATACAATTTATAAGCTCCGGTTGAATGGAATCATATGAATATCATACTTTCAGTTTTTTCATCCAACTTAACTCTTCTTTGATCAAATATGTGTTTAGAACATAGTGGGCCAAACATTTTTAGATGTTTATGATTAATTGAAGATCACATCTCTATTGATGTTCATCTTCTAAGTCACATGATTATACAATTTATAAGCTCCGGTTGAATGGAATCATATGAATATCATACTTTTAGTTTTGTCATCCAACTTAACTCTTCTTTGATCAAATATGTGTTTAGAACATAGTGAGACAAACATTTTTATATGTTTATAATTAATTGAAGACCACATCTCTATTGATGTTCATCTTCTAAGTCACATGATTATACAATTTATAAGCTTCAGTTGAATGGAATCATATGAATATCATACTTTCAGTTTTGTAATCTAACTTAACTCTTCTTTGATCAAATATGTGTTTAGAACATAGTGGGCCAAACATTTTTAGATGTTTATGATTAATTGAAGATCACATCTCTATTGATGTTCATCTTCTAAGTCACATGATTATACAATTTATAAGCTTCGGTTGAATGGAATCATATGAATATCATACTTTTAGTTTTGTCATCCAACTTAACTCTTCTTTGATCAAATATGTGTTTAGAACATAGTGGGCCAAACATTTTTAGATGTTTATGATTAATTGAAGATAACATCTCTATTGATTTTCATCTTCTAAGTCACATGATTATACAATTTATAAGCTTCGGTTGAATGGAATCATATGAATATCATACTTTCAGTTTTGTCATCCAACTTAACTTTTCTTTGATCAAATATGTGTTTAGAACATAGTGGGCCAAACATTTGTAGATGTTTATGATTAATTGAAGATCACATCTCTATTGATGTTCCTCTTCTAAGTCACATGATTATACAATTTATATGCTTCGGTTGAATGGAATCATATGAATATCATACTTTCAGTTTTGTCATCCAACTTAACTCTTCTTTGATCAAATATGTGTTTAGAACATAGTGGGCCAAACATTTTTAGATGTTTATGATTAATTGAAGATCACATCTCTATTGATGTTCATCTTCTAA